ATTTTCTGGGTAAATCATACCCATTTATTTCCTCACAGTCCTCATACCTAACAGGACGGGGCATTTCTTGGCGGTGGAGATGGGACTACATTGAAGTGGCTTCTAATTAAAAAGTCCTTGTTCTGCATTCCCAGTACTCATCGTTCTGCTCGTCAATAACCAAAGGGAACTGTTGTCTGCAGACAGCTGTTTCTCAGCATCAGGGCAAGACTGTCCGCGGTAATGATTTCCTAATTATGGTTATGGAGGAGGAGGTTATAAAGATGACACTATAGCACAGCTGCTCTGCCTTAAAGTGTCAGGGTGTTTATTACCAGGATGAGTCTCAGTGTGAACCCTGGTTGTCTGGAAACTGATATATAACCCGGGTTCGGAGGGTCACTTTAAAAATGTAATCTGTTACAATTACTAGTTATCTTAAAAAAAAAAAAAAAGTCAGTAACTTAATGTGATGAACGCAGTCCAAAAGTAATGTTACCCGATTACTTTCTGTTACTTTTGGATTACTTCAATATCAAATGCAATGAATAAATACAAGAATAAAGAAATATCATTAAGATGTTTTTTACTTAAGATATTTAGTAACAAAAATGTGTCCACTACTCAGAGATGTTATCAGTCAGCATATTCAGGCAGTAGCCTATACACCACATGTGTCAAACTCAAGGCCCGGGGGCCAAATCAGGCCTTTGGTGGATTTAATTTCGGCCCACAGAATAATTTCTAATTACTATTAGATCTGGCCCGCCGGTATATTGCACGCACACCTTCACTCCATCCTGAGGGTCTCCTCCGCTCAGAGCCTGACCCCAAACATTGATGACCTTGCACCCGAGATGAGATGCCAAGTATCTGAACTAGCATCACAGAGCAGCAACCTGAGTTTAATGGATGTTTCCTTCTGCACTTTCTCTCTCACGACAACAGGGCATGTTTGGTTTTCTCTTTGAGGGAAATAGTTTTGTTGAAGCTGTTGTTGGCCTGTGGAAAAATGTAATCATAAGAAATGACTCTGGAAAAGCTGCAGATAGAGCCATAAGAAATGAATGCAACTGATTATTTAATGTTGTTTTTATAGGCAATCATTTAAGCTTTGTTAGTTCCAGGTTTAATATGTGCAATAAGTTCATTTCAATACATTTTGCAATAAACATTGAACCAGTCCGGCAGTCGGCTAGTACCCATTTTTGTATCTTGGCCCACTGTGTGTTTGAGTTTGACCCCCCTGATATACACCATCAATGAAACCCATGAGCACTTTATACTACAGTTTAAAAAAGCAGAAATAAAATTTGAGCTTACAGAAAATTATCCGTTTTAGTTTAATACACACAGATAAACTCAGACACACTATTTTATGAACATATAGGTTCACCTACTGACTTAAAAACAGATCGGATTAACCAAAGAAAGTGAAACCATAAAGCAGATTCAGGCAGTAGCGTTTAGATTCACACTTAAAGTATTATCCTACAGAACAGCACAGCTTACAGAGAAGAGATAACATCTGATCCTTTTAAAACAAACACTATATGCTCTTTTTAGTCTTTCACTAACATTGTAATCCGGCTAGTAATCCCAAATGTTGGAGAAATTTACCAGAAATCAGATTTTTTTTAGATAACTGTCAGTGAACTACCTTTTTTTCTTCTCTATCCTACGTAATTATTCCCCAAACCTGGTTATCATCATATTTTCTATTTCTGTAAGCCTGTAAAAATGTCTTCCAGTCCGTCTACAGCAACGTCTGTCTTTAATGGCAAAACAGCAAAGATTCCAAGAAGAGTCATAAAAAGAAATCACAGACAGCCATAACAATAACGGCAGACACGTGAATGATATGTAGAAAATCATAAAATGTGTTGCTGATTTATCCAAACCTCTGCATTCCACGGGAAAGATGAGCGACATAACGATGCTATCTATACCCTCAGCAGGGTGCTCGCATCAGGCTGTGTAATTAAGGCGGAGGAAATTGGCGTTCCCAAATGGATCACCATAGAACGGCAATTTGTTTCCAACAGCGCCGAATTATCCTGTTAAATGGTGGACTGCCTCCAAAAGCTGAATTTGGGAGTCAGCTCGTTTTGGAAAGACAAGATCTACGACGAGGAAGAGTGCTTCGTTTTACTTGGCCTGCAGCCTCCCAGACAAATAATGTTGTAAAAATAACATTCATAATTTTGCTCTGTGGGAATTCAAATCAAAACAAAGCTTTATTACCTTAAACAAATGAAACTATTGGACACATTTATATGACAACGTTTTGAATTGGGGAGTATTACCCTTAGGACATTTGGTTTTTATAAGTAAGTAGAATTATAGCGTCTGTTCAGACTCATCATTTAAAAAGACTAACTTTTAACCTCCACGGTTATTTGAGGTCATTCGCAGCTTTGACCAATAGCCATGTGTCTATGTCGGGCCATAAAGCTGTTTGACCTCTGAACTTCATGAGGACTGCCAGATGAAGATCTTCCGCAGCGATACACTCCTAACAGAGCACGAAAAAACAACAATAAAGCTGCCCCTGATTATTCAGATCGCAAAGTAGCTGTCTTTAAACTTGTAACACATTTTTAAAAAAGCCCCCATCCCACTCATAAATCCCTTCTGAGGAAAGCTGAGAATCACCAAGTGTGACGAGGACTTGGGTCCAGCTCCAACTCTAATTTATCACTTCACTTTCTAGCGCCATTCCTGCCCCTAAGGAAGCATGACTTCATAGCCAAAGCACTGACTCTGCAGGAGATCAGGTCAGAGGCTGCTTTTCCTCCCCCTAACCCTCCCATCCTGCATGCCCTTCCTCTCAGGGTCGTCCTCACTTATTGCTCGAACAGATTTCACCCCACTGCCAGCTGATATGTTAGTTTGCAGGGTTTCTTGTCTGTGTGTTAGTACAAGAGCGTCTGTACATCTGCACGTCTGTCAGTGTGTGTGAGAAGTAAATGTGTGTTAGCGGGCTTGAAGGAATGTGAGCATGTGTAGAGGGTCTGGCAGACTCAACCGACACATTGCACGCCACTTAATACACACATCCACACACACTTTGCATGTCTCCAAAGTAGGGCTTAACGACATTGTTTTCTGCATGTCCGACACATATTAACTTCATATTTAAACCCTGCACACACTGCTCTAATCTCTCTAAGACAAACCTGATTTCACACTCTTGGATGTGCAGTAAAACACCTCACTGCGCTCCAAACACACACACACACATTTTCTGAGTGGTCTGTAACGAAGCCCAGCAGACAGAGGCTCGGCAGCCAGGATTTAATCCTGAGAAACCCTGTGACCTGCTGGCGTTAGAGCAGGCCAGACACTGTACACACTAATATTACACTGGCTACAGTACCGCTGGATCTCGTGAGACAAGGGTGGAACCATTACATTTGGGAAAGAGCCGAGCACTCGGATGAGTCTGGAACGAAAGTGCTCAGTGTAACAGGCAGAACCGTTTCATTATTAGTTGTGGCGAGGACTGCGAGTCAAGAATATTTTCAATTAGTCTGCCATTTATTTTCTGGGTTTATGGATTAACCTTAAAATGGCAGAAAATTACCAAAACGTTACTTTCTCAAAGTCAAAGGGAGATGTCTTAATATGTCTTCTCTTGTCAGCTTTAAACCCAAAGATATTCACTTTTATATGAGAAAAAAACAAGAAATCTTAAAGGGCCCATGTCATGCTTTTCTGGTTATCACCCGTCCCCTTGTGTGTTATGTAGCTTTTTCTGCATGTTAACGGTCTGCAGAGTCACAAACCCTCAAAGTACACCCTGTAGCGAGTAAAACTCTAACACAGAAAATACCTGTCTATGCTGCGCCAGAACGCCTCGTTGGACATTTCTCTTTTTCCATTGTTTACTTCTTGGGTATAGTGACGTAACGGCCGTTACATTGAGTCCGCGGAGCCGTTACGTTTGGACCAATCCGCGGACTTCCTCACACACACACACTCGGCGGGACGTTGCGAGGCTCGCTGCTGCGAGGAGCGGGACAGTGTGAGCCGGCTCACTGGTGTGGGGTCGGCGAGACAGCGAGACACAGCGGAACTCAGCCTGGGCACACACACAAACTCCCAGCCAGGCTGCGGGTGTGTGTGTGTTTCGGGCTGGGTTTCGCTGTGTCTCGCAGGCGGCCACTGGGCTCACAGGGAGGGGGGGGGGAGGGTGTAGGAGCTCCAACAAGCCATTTAGGACAGAGAGTGAATACACAGACTATACAGAGATGCTGTATGAGAAACCAATGAGAGTTTGGAACATTGCACAATATAAATCTATTCTAGTAGACCTCAACAATGGAATTATGATCAGTAGAAATGGCCATGACATGGGACCTTTAACATTTGAGAGGCCATTTTTGAATGAGAAATTACTTTACGATTATTGTAATAGAGAGCGTTTCTTTCTGTTGATTTGCAAATTGATGAGTAAATATCGAAGCAGCTATAGTTTGGACCTTTCATCTAATAGTCCAAGTGAACTTTCCCACAGATCTAGGGATCTTTTGAGAAACTGGACTCCACAGACAGGGTCTAATCTAATTCATCAGGATTATTTTACTCCCCAAAAGTCCCTGACTGAGGCGTACTACTTTCCAGTTTAGGAACTTTGCAGTGGAACATTTCTGTTTGTTGGAGTACTCACAATTTGGCTTCACTTGCCATTTCTTACAAATCTGCATCAGAGAGCAACTGGCAGGGTGCCTTGACAATGGCAAATGCAAGTATAAAACATCCAGTTCTTTTCCATTCAACGAATGGATATTGCAAATATTAGGTTTACATAAGACACAGAGAAAAGGCACATACAACTTTAGAAGCTGGAACAAGGGACGGTTTGCTTTCTTAGTTCAATAATGAAAAGCTGCTGCAGACCAACTAATCAAGTAATGGAATACATATACAGCATTTTTTAGGTCGGTGGATGTGTGTGATTGCTTCCTATTCGAGGAAGTTTCAGTTACTGTAGGTGTGATCGATGAATAGTTACTGACCTCCTCCTCCTGCTCCACAGCTGGAAGAGAGCTGGCCGCTCGAGCAGGTACACATGTTGGGTCTGGAGCAGAAACCATCACCACAGGAATTCCTGCAAATGGCTGGAGAGAGGAGACGAGGATTTAATAGATTCATTTATTTGTGTGTCCTCAGCCCCTACACAAAAAGCCGTGTTTCCATTCAATGATCAAGCAACCTTTAATCAACTTTTGCAATGTCGCCAAATAAAAAGAAATGCAAATTAGGCCTGTTTCCATCAACTGAGTAGTGCGGACAATCTTGGCGAAAGAAACCAAACAAGTTTAATTATCTTCAAGAGAAAAATGGAGAGTCTGACCATTTTGTTTTTTGTCAATTGGTATTAGTCATTTCTACGATATTGGAAAACTCAAAGAAGAGGTCAAAACCAGAAACAGTTAATCAGTCATGTGAGTTACATTTTCAAAACTTCACAATTAGATTAAGCAAATTAGCTAGCATAAAAACATTTCCCGACAATTTAGGACGTTTTATGGAATTTTCAAGTTTTTATACAGCTTTTCTAATGGAATACTTAAAAATGTGAATAAAAACAAGTGATTGGAAACATGGCTAATGACACAAACAGCATTATCCCACCCTTGTATGTGATTTTTTTCTTCTACTATGCTTTGTATTAAAGAGGATTTAAGGATGGATGAACTTACGGACGATACACTGGTTCCCTCCCGGCAGAGTCTTCCAGCCGGGGCAGCAGTACGAGTGGAAGCGAGAGCCACAAACATTGGGCCTGACGGAGACACACAAAAACAAAATACACACAAATTCAATACATTACATTACATGTTACTTGTTAGGCGCTTTTATCCAAAGCGATTTACATACATGCAGTACTGTGGACAATCCCCACAGGAGCAATTTGGGGTGAAGTGTCTCAGGGACACAACGACATGCTGACTGCAGAGAGACTCGAACTTGCTATCCCCTGTTCAGACCACTATACCACTGAGCCACAGCCTCACTATACTCACCCAGACCTCCCAAACATATTTGAGTAAAAGCCCTAAACAAATGCACGGTAGAGTTACTTTCTGAGCTGCATGGCCTTGGCTTTTAAGTAAACAAAACAAACTTTGATATGAAGCCTCCTCAAGAGATGGATATGAAAGGAAAGGAATGTGAGGGGCCTATCATATGAGGAGCAGCATTTTCTTTTTATTCACAGATGGATTTAAGGACAGGATGTATAAAATCCTCCTTTCCCCCAAATTCCACGCCTGTTCTCTGTAAAATATCCAAATGCAGCATTCCCATACTGGAGCTTGCAGAGGCCCTTGACCCCGTTTCACAGATGTAAGACTCATCATAGCTTATGAAGCGCTTGATTAGCATGACAGGTTAGCCACAAGGATTTCCTCTGAGATGGTTAAACCACATCTAGCAGTCCCACACACACACACACACACACACACACACACACACACACACACACACCACACACACACACACACACACACACACACACACAACACACACACAACACACACACACACACACACACACACAACACAACACACACACACACACACACACACACACACACACACACACACACACACCACACACACCACACACACACGCGCGCGCACACGCGCGCACACACACACAGCTGCCTGACCAACGAATGCCCAGTTTTGATCTACCGGGAATAATTACACAACTACTTTTAACCAGGTTTATTTAGGAACAGAGGAAAAGTCCCAACATGCTCCAATCCCAAAGCAAAAATCCACATAATATAAGGAAGTGTGTGTGAGTCAGCGCTGCATGAAGCTGTTTAACAAGCTGAAGGGATTCCAACTGTGTGGTGATAATAATGATACCCTTAGTGACCTTTCAAAGCGCATAATGGCGGCTGTGGTCCTCTGTGTGTTGGTGGTTACTTGTTTGCATTTGCCCATGGCAGGACTGAGATTTGAGGGACCACAACTTTGGATAAAGTCTGATCCAGATGCTCATGGTAAAGTCGTTTGCAACAGGGATCATGGAAATCATTTACGACAGTTTAAAGTGATGCTAGATTACCCTGTGTGTTTTTAAAATGATGAAGAACTAGAAAGGCAACTATTTATCAAGCCTTTATAAGGGTATATGGTTTATTTTAAAGAGACAGTGCTTATTTATAAAATGGTGGGAATAAGGGCAGTGTTAGCTAGTTAGCTCTTTTCTGTTGTCCCTCAGTAGTTGAAAGCACAGACGTTAGGAATAAAAAAGCTACAAATACAATAAACTAACACTCTTTAACTTCATATTCCCTATTTTATAACACAAGAAGACTTTTCCTCAAGAAGTATATTGACTTAGACATTTTCTATGAAGCAAGAGAGCTAGAGGAATGAGTACTAAAGTGAGTTAGCATTTCCTGTTTCTGGGTTTTGGGGTCAGTGTTTATTTTATATAAAGGAGGCCTGAAATGAAATCTCTGGGTAGCACAAGCTAGAGACATCTAAAGTGTTGTTCTATGACATAACATATGTTGTATGTATAAAAGACGAATGATAACAATTTTTTATTTAACCTTTATTTAACCAGATAGATAAAATCTCATTTACAATGCTGAGCCGGCCAAGAAGGCAGCAACGTTACACATAACACAAACATGTAAAATACAGAGAACACAACTAAGAAAACAAAAGACGAAAAAGCAGTCACTACATTGAGCACATACGACAGTAAGAAAGGCACTACTTATTACTGCAAGAGCAGCTGATGGTAAGGACTTCAGACAACTTCAATTTAAAACAGGCTATTGAGACAACTGCCGTCAGTTTGAGGCTTGATTGAAGGTCATTCCAAGGACCATAAAAAAAAAGACTCCTTTTTCAGTCCGAACGGCAGGAACCTGGACCCGTATCCAGGCACTGGTTCTGAGGTTGTAAGAGTTACAAACTGGAACAAATCTGGCACATACAGTATGTACAGTGGAAGCGTACCTTTATATATTATAGAAGTGTCTATAAAACCTCATCATGGCTAACATTAGCCGCCTTTAGCTTAGCGACAGTGACTTACTTCTGGCAAGTCTATTTGTAGTGTGAATTTGTGAAGATTACGGTGCTGGACAAAACTTGTAAGGATCACAAACTGCTGCTTTCCAAATATAATTGTTTATCTTCTGTTATACTCCAAAATCCCAAAGCCATTGTGTTTTTATCGGGGGAACGAGTGTAACGTTAACGTGAGAAAACACGTCATCCCAGCAGCACTTTATTAGACCCTCCATGCCTGTAAAATTCCCTCATCATTCAAACTCCATGTTTCCTGTTTTATAACACAGGCTGTCCGTCAAACATTTGAAGTCTGAAGCCTAACATAGGAGACATCATCTGAGTTATTATTTCAGACTCTGCAAAGATCCCTCCAGAGCCACGTTAGACATTTTACAACTGTTTTCACAGCCTCACTACAACTAAACTGACCTGTATGTAGAAAAGAAAGTCTGAGCTTTAAGTTGAATTTGCAGCCCAAAGAAGGAGAGGAGGATTCTTAGCCCTGATGAACTTCTCAAGTTCTGTGTGAAACCGATGACCTTCCTCTCCTCCTCAGCAGACGTATCGACAGAAGCCCCGGGGCTGTCACCAGGGAGATGACAGCTGGGCTTTGAATCTCTGATGGATGGAGAGCAGAGCTCACTTCCAATCACATTACCAGATGGCACCGAGAGACAGAGGGACGCACAAACAGGTGGGCAAGCAGACAGCAGATATTTACACAGGTAGAGTTTAAAAATAAAACAGGAAGACGGGAGATCCACAGAGGGTTTGTTTTAGAAAGTGTGAAGAGCGTTATGGTTGCTAAACTTAAAAACAGAGTGAAGGAGAAGAGTGTGGCGATGCAGCCAATAGTCATCTTATTTTACACTTAAAGTCTATCAAGAGAAAAGTATTACATCCCCTTTCCTGTACTGTGTTACTGTATATAGGTTTTTGCTTAAATCATTTGTCTACTTTTTGAACATAGTGACATCACCATGTAACACTTACATGCTTCTATTGGATAGTGCTCCAATTAGGGCTGCTCAATTATGGCAAAAATCATGATCTCGATTATTTGGGTCAATAATTGTAATTGCGATTATTAAACTTTGACTTTGAAAACATCCATTTATTGAAAAATAAATATGTGAACAGTATGTTTTTAACAGTTGATTAGCCTGAACTTTAAGTAGAATTCAACTGAAAAACCCAAAAATAAATAAATTAATAATATTAATTTAAAAAAATCGTTTTATTTCGATTACGTTGTTTTCGTAATCGTTGCAAGCCATAATCGTAATCGCGATTAAAATACGATGAATTGAGCAGCCCTAGCTCCAATCCATTGTACGTGATAGGCTAAGGGGCGGGACATCTTGAAGCGGTTGATCAATCACAACAGAGCCGACCAGCTAACCAATCAGAGCAGACTGGGCTCTGGTTTCAGACAGAGGGTGAAAAGAGGTGCTGCAGCATAGGCATAATAAATACTCACATGAAAATGAAAATGAGTATAATAGGGCCTCAAGTCGGAGCCCTAAACAAGTATAAGATTGTTGGCAGTGTTACAGAGGAGGACAGTAAATAACTAAATATTATGTGTAAAGACATGGATGGTATGAGGGGGGTGGGAAGATGGGACGGTGGGAAAAGAAACAAGGGATCAGTGGGAGGGAAAACAAACAAGCTTGTGTTGAGAAGAGGAGGAAGCAGGAAAAAGGAGTGGGGAGAGGAGATATGGAAACGAAAAAAGAGAGAACAGTAAAAGCAAGAAGAGGCCAGACCCTTAGTGGGGGTTGAATTTCTGGGGCAAAAACTGAGCTCCGAGAAAAACTTGAGAAATGCATGGAGCGGCATTCCAGCACTTAATGAGCAGTGAACCCTACGTCTTCCCCGGTCTATTTCTCCATGAAGCGCTGCAGGTTTTCCACTGTTACAGACCGAGGGGATGTCAATATATGAAGGACTATTGGGGTTTGACCCTGAGGTGCTCTGGTTTGTTATTCTTCCTCCCTCTCAGCCTTTCCTCCAGGTCAACGCCTGGTCTCAGAGAGGAGGCTTTAGAGGATGAACTGAAGTAATACAGAATGAAAGACAGCCATAAAAAAATGAGTTTAAGCCCCAGGGGTTTTCCTCAATATATGAAATGTCCCACTGTTCTCAGAGCTCAATCTAAAGGAGATTAACTCTTCTCTGGCCATGTCGCCGCCTTTGAAGCTGCCTCCCGGCCCGTGGATCGCTCGTTAACTGCCATTAATAGTAATAAAAGGAAAATGGCTGCCACCTCATCCAGGGGGAAATATGAAGAATGAGAGACAAAAGGAAAGTGGAGTCATACTTCAAAGGGGGGAGGGGAATAGGATTTAGGGACATGAAGCACGCCAAATAACCACGTAAGGTATCAACATGTGCATTACTCTGTAGTTGATAGAGGGCATCTGATAGAAACTATTTGATCAATTAACGATTCAGTCATTTTTTTAACTTTTGGACGGTTGACATTTAGCCAGGAAGATCAATATGTCTCGTTGAAATGTTTTAGACATGTCGCATTTTATTGACAGAACAATGAATCAACTAATCATAAATAACAAACGGCATTTGAATTAATTGTGAAAATAAAAGCTACATTTGAGCTCTACATCATTTGTTGAAGAGTATTGAGTTTTTCTGTGGATTTCATTTTTTCGAATGTGAGACTTTGCAGCTACTCTTTGTCATATAACAGTTAACTAAATAACTTTACGTTTTGGAC